TTTAACAATATTATTGATCTGTGTTGTACTACTTTCATTTTATCACTGTGAAGCTGCTTTGATACAATCTGTATTGTGAAAAGCGCTATATAAATAAATGTGACTTGACTTGACTTGACTAATTTCATTAAAAGGGAAAAGTCTGTCCATCTTCATTTCTGAAAATATGTAACATTTGAAACCCCAGTTCAGTCACATTCATGTTTCACTAATGTTAATTACATAACTTGCAGTTTTGAAAGAAGTTAGAACTACTAGCAAACAACATGCCATTAGTACGATTTGATTTTGATGGAGGGGGGGGGGGGGGGGGATTTGCAGACACGAAAGAGAACGTCTGTGCACATCCAAATACTCATTTTAAATGCAAAGTTGATCTTCGTTCGCTCGAAATATTTTCTTATCTGTGCGATGAACGTTTCTCCGCAAAACTGTGCAAAATGTCCTTTTGCGCGCTCAAAATGTGATCTTGCGCGCAACACTTGTGACCGAAATCTAATCCCATACTTTCAAAGCTATATATAATACATGAATAAAAGTTATGGGTTTTTTTATGCTTCTAAAAGGAGCGCCGGCTGCATCTATAAATGTGTGATTCACTCTCGAAATTGCAACTGACATAGTGATAACTAGCACGGGACAAAATAGATGCGCACAATGTAAACGCAGACTAATAGATCAATAGAAAAATATTCATATCAATGTATTTTTGATATTCAGTTCCAATTATTTGTAAAAGTAATGACTAAAATAATCATACATGTCTCACTGTAGTCGGTGCCGATAGCCTTGTGGACAAGTGTGCCGACATGTAGCGTCGTTGTGCTTCGGGCAACCCGAGTTCGAGTTCCGGCTTGTGGGCCTTTCCCTATCCTGTCCCCCCTCTCTCTCCCCCACCTCACTTCCTGACTAGCTACTGTCCTATCCTAATAAAAGGCAAAAACGGCAAAAATAAATCTTTTTTTTTTTTTAAATAAATTTAAAAAATGTTTTTTTTTAAATCGCTTTTAGCGGAGCCGTAGCGTACATATTGCATCTGCACTTTACTAGAGAACCCAAACTTACGTTCATCTTTGGGACACATATGAAGATATTTATAATATCTTGGTTCCCTCCATTGACAGCTACGCAACTGCCACTTTGATACTTTAAAAACTTCATAAAGAGATCATAAAGTAATCCACATGAACTAAGCGGTTTAGTTCCATATTCTCTGAAGAGATTGATTGCTTTATGATGAACAGATTAGTTTCTTTTTATATTTATCATCAACTCACAGTCATCATCAGTTTTGGTAGATGAAGATGAACAAAAGTCTAACAGGTTTGGAACAACATGAGGTTGAGTAAATGATGACGGTATTTTTTTTTTTATGTGTTTACTAACCCTTTAAGCGATAAAGTTTAGGTAAATATTTAAATGTCCATTTAACAGGTACAATTAATATACATGACTCTGCAAATCCATTAAAAATAATTACAACAACTGTGAACGATTAATGAATTGTGATTTTGTTATGATGCATAAATCTCAATTTTGTTTTTTTCTATTAATTTGGAAGGCTACGTGCTTAATATATAAATCTTTTTGACACTTTTTGTATCGGGTTCCCGGCCCTGAAAAACATTAAAGACCCCTGATATAAAGAATATTTCAAAAACAGATATGGCTTTAAATAACTTTTGTGCCATTTTGTATGTATTTTAGATTTAAGGCCAAAACACTAATGTGCTAGTGTACTTCCACAAGATATTAAATATGTAATTTAAGTTTTAGCAGACACATACTCCAAATTTACAACCAGGAACACAGACTAAGAATAATAGTCAGTCATCTTGCACTTATGATCTTATAGATATTTCTATATAATCAAATGCAAGAATGCCAACGTTCCTCCCCCTAACACTACCTTTAGATCTTATAGGAGAACTAAATAGGAGAACCAATACAAGCCTGCATATATATACCGTAAATATATTTCAGTCATTCTGAATTTCACGTTTAATTTAATTCAATGTGATACTTATTTGTCAAATTGTATGTGAACTTTTTTTTTTTCCAAAGTAAATCATCAAATTTGCTTCAGTGTATGATATCAGCTAGATCAGCTAAATATATCCCCTTTTTGTTTAGGTTGCACATGATCATACAGCTGTCATCTTGGGCTTATACTGACAACTAGTGGCAAGGAGGATCATTTGCATGTAGCGTCACGAAGAAAAAAAAAACCGTTTGCTGTTTAGATATGGATGCTAAAAAGATATGGATGCCATTGAAGTAATGCTATTTGCAGTCAGCCATTTTTCATTCTGTAAGAAAGTGTCCAATAACATGTCATCTTTATTTTACAACCTTTTTTCATATTTTTGTTAAGTGCAAAACTGTTTACCGCTTGAAAAAGAGTGCATTTTTATAGGGATAGTTCACCCAAAAATGACAATTCTGTCATCGTTTACACACTCTCATGTAATTTTAAACCTGCAAAAGATTTAAAAAAATAAATGAAAAATTAAGTAATTTTGGTCAACATTGGCTTTCATTGTATAGACAAAAACAAAAACATATTAATCAAAATATCTTGTATTCCAAAGAAGAAAGAAAGTTGTACAGGTTGGAATTGGTTAAGGTTCAGCTAATAACATTTCTAAAAGTGATTTCTATATTATAAAAACAAATGTCAAAGACGAACATATACATTTCATTTACTTAAAAACATGTTTGTTTTTTTTTACTTTTGACTGAAAATTAATAACATTAATATTTAGATTCATGCACATTTAACACTCCAAAACATGAGGTGATAGTTCAAAGTCCAGAGAAGTCTGATAAGGAATTTGTGAAACAAGATAGGCTGATGTTTCAAACAGGGAAGGAATATTCACACAGACTTCCACAGATTTAATATAAAGAAAACAAGACTAAAAGCATGCATATCAGTATCGTTATTTAGCCATGGTGGTAACTGAGGTACCAAACGCACACAAATTTAAAGCCTGCTTCTCTTACCCTGAAAGGTAAACAGCAATCTGTGCTGGAAACTCCACGTATGCCCATTTTGGAAGCTTATCCTCCTTTTATTGTTGTTCACAGAGACCTAGTCTTTGAGAATGAAGCGGAACGTGGCGCATCAAAGGTGACAGTCTTCACAGGCAGACACTGAGTGATGGCCATAGCACTCACCTTCCTGAAACCACTATCACCTTACACATCCACATCAAGTCAGAGACCAAGCCTCACGCTTGACTTCCTCCAACAAACAACCTAAGAGCCACCGACACAAGAAAGAGCCCATCTCCTGTTTCAGAGGGTCATCTTCATGACAGACTGACTGATTTAGCACCTTTCCTCAGGGCGACACTGGACATTGGGGAAAACATTGACTGCTCTCATTTTTTATCACTGTGATTTCAGTGGATGGAATATATGTCCAATATGTATAAGAAAAAAAGTATGAGCGCTATCTCTTTCACTAAATATCTGAACTAACCACTTAACCTAAGTATTAAACTTTGATGCATAATTCTTCAAGCAACCAACCAGAACACTACAGTAACCATCTAGCAATGCTGTAGAAACCACTTAAAACACCCTAGCATCAGTTAAGCAGCATTTGCATAAGCAACTATTTCGGACATACAAGGTAAATGTTGAAGAAGATAAAAAAAGAAGATGAAATTCAGCTCCTAAGTTTTATTAGTCTCCTTAAAACTCAAGAAGAACCATGTGGAAATCGTAACAGAGCAGAGTATCATGATATCGATCTTTATAGTTTGTGAATAACTTGCTTTGAGCTTGAACAATTTCTAAAATCCAAAAACACATGTTGGACTAAAGAACTAAAGAATTTAAACTTTATATTTCTGTAATTTAAAAAGGTTTACCAGGGAATCTAGAATATCAAAGAATTTTTTGATAAGACAAGCTTTGTTGAAACAGCTTTTTGAATGATTTTTTCTCAGAGAGAGAGAGAGAGAGAGAGAGAGAGAGAGAGAGAGAGAGAGAGAGAGAGAGAGAGCAGTATATCAGGAACAGTCTACTTTAGCAGTTTACAGTGGCAGTTTACTTTCAAAACAATAATCAAAGTAAGAATCCTGATAGAGACTTAATTATAAAAAAAATAAACGTTCATGGATAGATGACAAATAACATACCAGATGTTAACGGGAAGGAATATATTGCAGGTTTTGTTACTTGTCATCATATTTTCAATTCTTCAAATTTTAAATTTCACAATTTTTTTAGCAGTTTTCTGCTTGCATTAAAAGTCATGTTGCATGACAAGTGTTTTAACATTTTTATGTAATGAAGTGCAAATATTCCAAAAATGTGGTCATAATACTGCATAGAAAAAATTAATTAATATTTTTATTCAGCAAAGATGGATTGAGCAAAATTAAAAGTGACAAAATTGTTATATTTTAATTAAATTCTGTTGAACTTTATATTTGTTAAACAATAACAAATTGTTTTTCTTAAGCAAGAAAAACATATTGCGGTTTTCACAGTTTCTGAAGAATCATGTGACACTGAAAGACTAGACTAATGGCTGCAAAAATGTTTAGCTTTGTCTTCACAGGAATGCACATACAATATTTCACAGTATTAATGTTTTTTTTTCTGTTTGTTTTTTTTTTATTAAATAAATGCAGCCTTGGTGAGCATAATATCCTTTTTTTTCAAAAACATGATCAAACATTTTAAAGGTAGTACAGACAATAAGGAGATTCATAGCATCACACCACATGACACTGTTGTCACTGCTTCTACCCATATACAGATGTTTACTTAAAAAAAAAAAAACATATTTAAAAAACAAAAAGCAGGAATGCAGCCAACATGATAATCAATAAGAGAAGCCGACATCGAAGAAAAGGGCAAAGGCAACCAAAGAAATGTAAAAGTTCTGCGTGCATTTTGAAATGAAGATCGACCGTTTAGTGTGGGAAAAGCATGTGTGCATGGTTTCATACAGAAACACATGAGACAGTTGCTCTACTCACCGTCCAGGTGGCTGACTTGGCGGTGCTAGACTGCTGGAAGGTGACCTCGAAGTTGTGCGGCCCAGGGTAGTCAGTGTTGGAGGGGATGGCCGGGGCTGGAGACATGGCTTCGAAGGTTGAGTTTGGCTGAGAGTAGGGTGATGGCGTTGGCACGTTGGAGGTGGTCTCTGAGCTGTAGGGACTGGTAGATGCTGGTCTGTTCCCCAAACCTTGTTCCATACTGCTGCTCAGTAGGCTGTACTGAGACTGAGTGAAAAGGCAGAAAGTGAAGGAGGGTAAGACAGGTAAAAGAGTGGGAGGGAGACAGGTGAAGGAGGTAGGCAAAAAAAAGTTGATATTGAAGGAAAGAGGGAGGAGATGAGACTCCCTCCACTCCACTTCTACAGCTCCGGTTACACCGTGTTGGGACGTACAAGAGGGTAGGTTGTGAAACACAACCATAATCTGTCCAATGTCTAATTGCCTGACATTCTCTTCTCTAACTTACTAACACAAAACTTACAGATCACACCCACCACTCATAAATTATGTTTCCATGTGTTGGGCTGTGATGAAAAATGTGAGAATGTGAGGGATGAGAGGGAAAAAACTCACAGACTTGGAAGCCGGAGTCAAAGCTAAAAATGATCATTTCAAAGAGACTTTGGGTGGGATCTTTTAACTTGGGCCAGTGAAGACCCACCAAAAAACAACCCACAACAACTTAGAAACACCCTCGCAACCAACCAGAACACTCTATCCACCACATTGCAATGTCCAAGAAACCACAACACTCTACCGTCATTGCAGAGGTTTTCACGGACAAGCACCACTTGCATTTTCCACAGAAATTAAATGTAAAATCTAAATTCCGCTATAATTATATAAATATGATATAAAATGATCTTCAAAACCTCAAAAAAAAAAGAAAGAAAGAAAATGCTGCCATTATCACTTGACTCATGCAGTCTTGATATAATGACTCAAAGCTCAGGAAAAAAGCACGATGGGTAATGATTCCCACAAAACCTCTAGACCAATCAGAGACCTGTGAAACTAGATAACCAAACTGCAACACAAGTCAAGCAAACGGAAAAGTCTTTACCTTCTTTTCTCAGATAATACATTGTCCAAACCAACAGAATCACATATCCTCTGCAGTCAAATGACACACCGATGAACCCATAGAAACCATAGTGAGTAAATCACTCATCTCTCACAGTCAACTCAACCTGAGACTTTATCACCTGTTCTCGCTCTCTTCAAGAAATCTCCGCTATGGAGTCATGATCCTTGTGGGACATGGTGAAAGAGAGCAGGTGGAGTCCAAAGGGACGGAGGTCAGAAACCACATATTGTCCTAATTATGGCATATCGGACAACGCCTGTGCAAGAATATACTTGCCGGTATATACTTTCTCAAGACTCTGCCTGTGTGAATAACACCATTCAAGCATGCACATGAGAAAAGGGAACAAGAGAAACGATAAGCGAATGGTTCAAAGGTAGAGATGAGTTTTCATGCATACAATTAATTGAAAACTAGAACCAAGTCATGCTTCCTGTAAAAACTCTCCAATAAAAATCCTAGAGTGCTGCCAGGATGTCACTAAGTGGTTGCTAGGGTGTTCTGAGTTGTTATTTACTGGCCCAAACCAAAAAGCTCAGTCCAAAGATTTATATCCCTCCTTCAATGTAAGCCAATGGGACATTTCAAACTGTTTTATCATCCACCAGGAGGCAACTGTATCTGACCACCACAAGCCAAATCTCTCCTCAACAAGTAGCAAGATTTGAGAAATTATACATGCTTGTAGCACAAAAGGTGCAGTTACACGCTTAAGTTTAAAACTTTAAGGTTTGTTCAAATTCATAACCCTAAGTATGTTCAGTACTAATTGTGATATGATGCACAGTATATCCTATTCATCATCATAGTTTTCTGAATTTAGTTTTTGGCTTAAATATAGGGGGCTTTCCATAAGGATCTGTAAAAATGAACAAGAAAATGTGAGAAACGCTGTTTCAGAGTAAACCACACATACACACACACTCAGGTGTGCCTCATCAGTAAGTCTCAACATGTTCTGTGGCAAGTTGAAACAGAACAGAAGCATTTTTGTGTGTGTGCATGTTTGTGGGTGCGTGTGTGAATGAGAGAGAGAGAGAGAGAGAGAGAGACAGAGAGAGGGATGTGCTGCCTGTGTGTGAGTAAATTATTCAATGTTTCATTTTTGACACACATGCAATGTCTCTCTCTCTCTCTCTCTCTCTCTCTCTCTCTCTCTCTCTCTCTCTCTCTCTCTCTATCTATATATGATGAATCAAATAATTGCCGCTTAAACTATAGTCTATATCAACATTATCATATTTTTATTAAATATTAGTACTTTTTATATAACTGACAACCATACAAAATAAAACCAAACTGACATTCATTCAGACAAGATTCAACTTTATAATGAAGGCAAATTTTGACCGAAAACACACATTTGTTTAAAAAGTTACACATTATATTATATTTAATTTAGTAATTACATATTTATTTAATTTTATTAAACGTTTGTTGGTCAAAACAATGGTGTGTTGCATTTTGCATCTTTTCTTTTTCTTTGTTAATTTACTTTTAAATAAATTATATTTTGCTCTACTTTCCTCATACAGTGTGAGAACATGTGTTCCATGAACTATGTGACAACAAGACCATGTATATCTGTCAGATGTTGCAGTAACAGTAAGCAGAAGCAGATGTGTCTGTGGGAAATGTTTGTACGATGATAATATGTAAAAACAGCACCCTCTGCTGAAAACAGAAATAATTACCATTATCCTAATGAACATTTTTTGGGGGGGATTCCGTAAACAGGTGAGAGATGACCACGCTAAACAGCAAAATATTACTAAAACCAAAACAATCAAATTCTGCATAACAAAATCTCTGAAATCCCTCAAAGACGAATCAACACAATACCAAAGTGCACATCAACAGGTGTCCATCTTACAGATGTGCTGAAACTACAGCATCAATATAGGTTTTCTATCAAGCAAGTATATATGTATATTCACCAATTATATTTAAATTATTATTTAAAAATCAATAACAGATAAGTTAAACTGAAGTAACTTACACTGAAGAGTGTTACCAAAGAATGACATCAATATATGGTGCAATAGAAGATTAACTTATACATTTAAGTTAATATAATGATTAATTAATAAGTCATCAATAAAATGAAATAAAATACAAAATAACAAAAAAAATACAAAATTAAAAGTGTTATTTTTAATTAAAAATATATATATATATATATAAAATTAAAAATACAATTAAATTAAAATAAAATAAAAATGACAGCGAGCAAAGAAACAACATTCGGATGGTTCAGGAACTGCTCACCTACCGTGCTGTAGTAATGAGGCAGGTCACCGACACACAGCATTGTCACGTTCCCGCAAGGCAGGCAAAAGACAGGGGAGATTCTCCCACTGGTCTGGTCATGTGACCTCACAGAATATACAGGTGAGTTCTGCACGTCTCACCTCTTCACTTTAGATGCTCTGAATGAAACTAATTTGAAACAACAACTCCAGGAAAGGTAAACGCACTGCGAGTAGCTTTTTCTGATTTTCCGCCAGTTCTCCTTGCCCTGTCAGCTTCTAGATGCAGCCAACAACAAATCTTTGGCCCTCCCACTTTTTGGCCTCATGACTATTCATTACCTAAAAAAGCAGGCCTAGACTTGCCCACTTGTCTTTTAGACTATACCATTTTTTGCAAGGGGTTAGGTTAGGCTTTCCAATTACAATTTTTGGGGGATATTTTTTAAATGAATGGTGAAATTAACTACTACATCTTTTTAAATTGCTAGACCTCACAAGAGAGATAACCAACTGGTTAGAGCAATTTTCAATAACGGCCAAGTGAAAAACAAACACTTGAAAATCAATACATTTTTGAAAATGCTTATACAAGTGTACAAGTCTAAAGCGAACAACCAAAGGAAATCCATATGCCCCAGAAGAGATATTTCACAGAATTCTGGAACCACTGATGGAAAAAAGCAGCACAAAACCAATGCACAATATATAATGGTTTCATCTCACAAAAACACCATATTTCACTTGAAATAAATAAAATAATTATATATAGCCTATATAATGCTATTAATGCTAAGTACAATTGCCATTTTTATGCATTACAATATTTTCATAAGCATATTTCCCCCATTCTCATTATGATAATGTAAACAAATCTCATCTTATTGTATAGTATTACTATATTATCAATTGTACTAATTGAAAATATTAAAGTTCAAATTATTTTATATTTTTTAAAGAAATATTTTATGTATTTGTTGAACTACTTTAATTTTTGCTGATCTAATTAAAATTATTTTATGATCAGTCGTTATAAGAAACAGTAAGAAATATGATACAGTAATAAGAATGAGATTCACAACTTAGAATAATGAGAATTCCACACAAAAAAAGTCAAATGTATGCATTAATATGGTAATGAGAAATGTGGGAAATGTGCATAATTGTCATATAATTAAAGTCACAACAACCTAAAATATGTGTTTTAAAATATGGGTCCTAATAGGCTTCCTTTTTTAATGCCAAAAAAAAATATTTTTCTTTCTTTTTCTTATTTATTTTGTGGTGAAATGTGACCTTGTGAGATTTCGCCACCTATCCACCTATCTCTCCCGGCACGTGCGGCCCAGATGGGAGGCAGTAGCAGGTGTCGTGTTCCTGGCTTGGCTTTTCTCTCTAATTAAGGCATCACAGCCTCCCACTACACCCTTCACTCACATACTCTAGTCTTCGAGCCCAAAGGGAGGGAAAAAAACGCGCAGGAGAGGGAAACTAGGGACTGAGGAGGGAATCCTGGTGGATAAGGAGGGAAAACCAATAAAGTTCAGTATTAAAGCCTGATGTTGTGTGTGTGTGTGTGCGAGGTTGACTTGCTGCTATATTCTAACTAAAACTCTTTTTGATTTTTGTAATTCTTTTACAACTATTATATTTTCAGTTTTACGTCACCAAATTTAATCGACAGATTACATGGAATTAGTTCATATTAATTATATTTGCACAACTGCAAACAAGCAAAAAATCAAAAATAAAACACAAAAAAATAAAATGCTAACACATCCTGATCCTGTCAAGTTGGATTCACTTCTCTTTGATTGATTTTACTGAGAATGTATTGAATGTTTGAGAATTCATAGATTGTAGCTGTGTTTGCTTGACACAAATCTGTACTCATCGAATTTTCCAGCTTCTTACCATGACATTGTCGTTCATGTCTCTCATGTGGTAGACGTCCATGCAGACTTCAGCGCGGTTGCTGGGCAGGCTGCTAGAAGCCCGGTCCCCTGAGTGTCCTGCCTGAGGAAGCTCAAAATATGTGCTGTCTGGCTCACTGTAACAAAACACAGAGACCGTACGGGAATCAAAAATCGATTATATGAGCAGGTCCAGTTTATATTAAAAGGCCATGTAAAGATTTCCCATCGTGAATCTTTTTTTTTAATTTTTTGGACATGTAATTCAGAGAAAACAAATTGCAGTCTATCTCGAAATAGTACAAATGGATTGCTACTAATATCCAAACGTGCTGCTGATTTCACAGACATTGAATGATAAATGTCACCAGACATATGACTAAGGGATAGTCTTTGGGTTTGTTTTTGTTTTGGATGGATTTGTCAAGGGTTTTAGTTGTGTGTCCTAGTTTTCAGGTTTTTTTTTTTTTTTTTTTTTTTTTTTAATGGTTCGATTCGCACCTGTTGTTAATTTTGTTGATTGGCTTGTCTGTGCATTTAAAGTCCCCCTGTGGTGAAAATCGAGTTTTTAATGTTGTTTATATGTCTATGGTGTTTTTAATAAGCTTTAAGACAAACCATGTACAAAAAAAACCCACCATTGCTGAGTATTTTCTCCAAACTCCAGTCAAACAAATACAGTCTCAAAAACGCAGTTTGAGATCACCGGTGTTTCTTACGTCACAAACTAACTTGAAACCAATCAACGTCAATGTGCGGGTCGGGCTTTAGTATTTCATTACTATAACCACTTTGAATCAGGGGAGTCTCAAGAGAAGCCAGGTTTTATTTTTTTTGTTGATATGAAAAATGAAAAGCAATATAATGGGTGAATTATGCATGTATATTACGATGTTATTTTGAACTATGCATTTCTTCACTGACGTTCTGATGTTCAAAGCGAGGCTGAATTTTACAAGGCAGCTGTTTGAGATGGCGAACACATGGTTTACGTAAAATTAGCAACACATCATTTGCTGTTTTTTATAAGCAAGGCTAATCATATTAATTACCGTTATGTGTCTGACGTTGTAAAGAGCGATACCATTGTGCAGCGTTTACCTCAGTAAGTTGACAGAGCAGCGAGTGGATCTCTGAGCTGGTGTGAGTGAGTGGAGGCGGGGCTAATTAGCATATTCATGGTTTTGCATATACTAAATGAAGCAAGGGTGTAGTTACATGCAAGCTATTTTAAGGCATGAAGAAATGTTTTTCATTTTGTCAGTAAAGATGAGTTTTAAGGGACACAATTAACAGGAGAACTTTAAGCTCTGGGTTTCTTTCTGTATTTGAGTATTTTGTTTTGAGTTTTGTTAATAAATGTTATACTGCTGCATATAGATCTGTGTCCTTATCATTCACAACCAAAAGCTTACAAAGTTAGTTTTAAAAGTAAAAGTAATTCATTACAATTATGAGTTAACTTACTACCTAAAAATGTATCTAATTGTGTAACTTAGTTACTTTTTATGGAAAGTAATGTGTTGCGTTACTTTTTCTCTCCTGAGCTGGACTTGCTTGTTTATTTTTTAACTACAAACAAAAGTTATATTTTTGGAAAATGAAAGGAAAGGCAAATTCCCGCCTGTACAGTAGAGGGCGCAGCTCAAACAAACATTTCAGCTGTGCTGCCATTCTGGGGTGCGTTTCCCGAAAGCATCGTTAGCCAACTATGGTCGCAAGTTGGTCGCAATTTCCATTGAACTCTATTGGCAACAACGGAACTTGCGACCATAGTTGACTAACGATGCTTTTAGGGAAACGCACCCCTGGATAGCAGAAGAATAGGAGGCAGGAGAAGAAAGTTCAACACTCTTACTTCAGCAATAAAAACAAAATAAAACACAAATGTGATTTAAGTCATTTTGCTTATTAGTATGGTTGAGTTGGATCATCAAAGGTCAGCAGCAAAGACATTGGTTAATAAAGTGAGATTAAATACATAAAGGATATTTGTGTGATTTAATATTTTTAATCATTACAGGTTTGCATAATATTCTGAGTTTGCTGTTTTTATTCAATTTGAGCAATACTGAATCTGTTTTTGTGCAAGATGAGTAAATGCTCACATTGCATGGGGACAGGAGAAGTGTCTGTCAATAAATGGGAAAACAAAGTAACTTTCGTTACTTATTTTAAAAAGTAGCTCATATATATATGAAGAGTTCAGATGCAAAAGCCTCTAAATGCCATTTGAAATTTTCTTCTTTAATGATGATTTTTATCAAACTTGTATATTTAAGTTCAGTAATTTCACTTAAATAACAATTAATAGGTAATCATCATTGCCATTTAAGTGAAATTACTGAACTTAAATATACAAGCTTGAAAAAAATGATCATTCTAGAAGAAAATTTCAAATGGCACTTAGAGGCTTTTGCATCTGAACTCTTCATATATATATATATATATATATATATATAGTAAATTTAAACGTAATGCGTTACTTTAGTTACTTGAAAAAGTATCTAAAAGTATCTAAATATGATTAGGTAGCTTACATTATTTGTAATATGTATCCCCCCAACACTGCATACAACACAACAAAAATGCATGTAACTGCTGGTTAAACTCACAGGGTACTCCACAAATGTTCAAAGGTTGTACCCTCATCAGCGGTGGATGACTGGGACATTTTGGATGTTGAACAATCCACCGCAGGGCAGATCACACTGAAAACCACATACCAAACAAGGGTTACAAGCATGCATAAAAAAAAGCATTCGTAACAAACAAAATCATTAGTAAAATAACCTGCTGCAGTCAGTTACAGTTTACATGCAAAAAAAGCAAACTAGATATGCAATATAGCGCACATGGACTTCTATACTACACAGAAAACAAATGGAACTGGAATAAAACTGGTTTTAGTACAAAAATATTATTTAATATCGCTGAATCAACCTAAATTAAATCAACAAATTAAAACAGCTTTTAAGGTAACACATTCTGCACAGGTTACAAAATTTTACAGTGAAGTACATTTTTGTCTGGACAGGATCTTGACTGAATGAATCACCATCCACTGTGTATGGGGAAAAACATCTTGTGTTACATGAAAAAAGGAGGTTTGAAATGGCTTGAGGGTGAATAAATTATTACAGAATCTTGATTGAAAGTGGTCTGAATACTCTAAAAAAAAAGGTTAATTCAAATGTTTAAAATTTGAAATGATTACATATTAAATTAAAGCTGCAAGCAGCATTTATCGGTGTTCAAGCAGTTCAGGCCTTTAAGCACAAAAGCATCAAAAGGCATTCAATTTTATTTAACATGCATTTATCCACGGACATAATAGATGTAAAACACCATTTACAATCAATACAGGCAATTTAACATTGGAAATGCATGGTTTTAAAGCTTTTTAACAGTTATAGTGCCACCTATGGTCCGATCTCCATGAAACTGTGCATGCTTCTTCGGCATGTTATGAGACATGTGCTCATCAATTTTTGTGAAAATTTTGAGTTTTCCTTTAGGATTTATATGATTTTGGGTGCATTTTGTCCCATCCCTTTTGTAAACGACCCTGTTATAGCCAATCAAAAGCAAAAGTTCTACTTTTTTTCGATAATTATTTATCTAGAGAGTCCAGAGAATAGTATTGGGCAAAAAACCAGGGACTAGTTCGCAAAAGTGGGTTTTGGACAAAAACCGAAATAACAATATTTTTTTTGCTCCAAATGGAAATCCGAGATATACATCTTGTCCGTCTTGAGCCAGGGATTACAGTGGTGTAAAAACATTGAAGCTAAGTCAAACGGTAGGAGTTATGAGCAATTTAGTACTTTTGGTTGCTGTAGCGCCACCTATGGGCCAATCGGACTCATGCTCTGATAGCTTCTCCACAATTTGAGGCCCTACCATCTGACAAAGTTTCAGAGCTCCAGCCCTTACGGTTTGGGCTGCACGATGCGTTTTAGGGGATTTTTTCTTTCTTTCTAGCAAATACAATAGGTTTTCAGCACTTCGTGCTTGAACACCTAATAATGAGAGACCTTTTTGACGATTATAGCGCCACCTATGATCCGATCCTCACGAAACTTTGCATGCTTCCATGTTAGGACACATATGCTCATCGATTTTTGTGAAGTTGTGACTTTTTTGGGGGGGGATTTAGGGGCTTTTGAATGAATTTTGCCACAGACCACTATCTAAATGACCCTGTTACAGCCAACCAAATGCAAAATTTCAACTTTTTTTCGATAATTATTGATCTAGAGAGTACAGAGAATAGGCCTGGACTGGTTTGGTCCCAATTGGGCAAAAAACCAGGGACTAGTTCGCAAAAGTAGGTTTTGGACAAAAACCGAAATAACAAATTTTTTTTTGCTCCAAATGGAAATCCGAGATATACATCTTGTCCGTCTTGAGCCAGGGATTACAGTGGTGTAAAAACATTGAAGCTAAGTCAAACAGTCTGAGTTATGAGCAATTTAGTACTTTTGGTTGCTGTAGCGCCACCTATGGGCCAATCGGACTCATGCTCTGATAGCTTCTCCACAATTTGAGGCCCTACCATCTGACAAAGTTTCAGAGCTCCAGCCCTTACGGTTTGGGCTGCACGATGCGTTTTAGGGGATTTTTTTTTTCTTTCTAGCAAATACAATAGGTTTTCAGCACTTCGTGCTTGAACACCTAATAATGAGAGACTTTTTTGACGATTATAGCGCCACCTATGATCCGATCCTCACGAAACTTTGCATGCTTCCTAACCATGTTAGGACACATATGCTTATCGATTTTTGTGAAGTTGTGACTTTTTTGGGGGGGGATTTAGGGGCTTTTGACTGAATTTTGCCACAGACCACTATCTAAATGACCCTGTTACAGCCAAGCAAATGCAAAATTTCAACTTTTTTTCGATAATTATTGATCTAGAGAGTACAGAGAATAGGCCTAGACTGGTTTGGTCCGAATTGGGCAAAAAACCAGGGACTAGTTCGCAAAAGTGGGTTTTGGACAAAAACCGAAATAACAATTTTTTTTTTGCTCCAAATGGAAATCCGAGATATACATCTTGTCCGTCTTGAGCCAGGGATTATTACAGTGGTGTAAAAACATTGAAGCTAAGTCAAACGGTCTGAGTTATGAGCAATTTAGTACTTTTGGTTGCTGTAGCGCCACCTATGGGCCAATCGGGCTCATACTCTGATAGCTTCTCCACAATTTGAGGCCCTACCATCTGACAAAGTTTCAGAGCTCCAGCCCTTACGGTTTGGGCTGCACGATGCGTTTTAGGGGATTTTTTTTTTCTTTCTAGCAAATACAATAGGTTTTCAGCACTTCGTGCTGAACACCTAATAAAAAAATGTATAGTTCTCCAAATTATATTTAATTTCTATAAAATGATTGCATTTTAATCACAATCGTTATACATTAATGGACCCAGTAATTTTATAACCGTGATTAAGGAGCACACTAACTGCTCTGAAGTCATGTTCCACCCTGCTGCCCAATGCATCATCTGAAGTTTGAATCCCAGCAGAATTTGAGGCTGGATGCACAGATTCAGAATAAAGATGCCAGGCTTGACGTGTCCAAACCTGCCTGGCACTGTTCCACAGTGACCACATACTTCCTCCATCATACTCACAGGAAATGAGGACTAGAAGAGTATCCTAACCACACAAGAGCAAGTCAACACAGAAAGTGAGTCTGTTGCAGTTTTGGACCATCAATGCTGTAACATATAACACACCCAATAGAAAAATATCAAATTGCAAAGACAACTAAGATCAGTGGTTATAGTTTATGCCATTTAATTAGCAATATATTGGTCAAGATTTTTGCAATCAAATTATTTATAGCCTACTAGCCAACCGCATTTGCCTATAATACTTAATTTTTTTTTTAAAAGAAAGATAAAGAGATAAAGGACCCAAATAACCATATTAAATGCCCATAAATATTTATTATTACAAAAAAATTCAACATTCCTTATATTGCGGATGATATTTAAAATAATTATTTGAAACATGATTAATTTCACGCATATTTATGTATATTAGATAAATTTGAAGATGACAATCACAATGCTATTCCCTTTTGATACATTGTTGTTTCCACATAGGTTTAAACTATATATATATATATATATATATATATATATATATATATTCATATAGGAACAAAGCAATCAATTAATTTTATTTAATTAATTAATTTATTTATTTTTTTACTTCAGTTAATATTTCTAATTTATTTTTAAAATTCAGTTTTGGTATGGGCTAAAAAAGGGACTGAAGATTCCCAAAATTTTAGTCTAGGAAAAAAAAATTGTTGTAAAGTAAGCTTAAGTTTATTAAACGCACTTTGACTTTGAACCTGCATTAAACAACCAAGGTTCTTTAGCAAAATCTCACTAACTAAACACACACACACACACACACACACACACACACACACAGAAGAAATGTGAGAGTAAACTTAGCCTAATCAATTGGATGTATAGCATGTATATATAAAATAACTAGGCCTATTTTTGTTGTGAGAAAAAGGTTTACAATTTTAGTTAAATAGCCTAGGCCTACTGACCTGTGGTTTTATTTTGTTCACTTGTTATAGTTATTACAAAATAAAAAGATGATATTACAATTGTAATTTAGATCAATTAAATAATTTAAGACATTTTAGAAAGTTTTTCGAAACGTTCTGCTATTAGGAGAACACATTTAATATTTTACGCAAGATATTGAGACAATTCTTGTGACAATTAGCCCGGTGTCCTCTTAATTTAAAAGACAGGTTTCCTACCTAAATCTAAATGTGCTAATTTAAAAATAAAATAAAAAAGAATGCTAAAAAGAAAAAAATGCTTTCTAAGTTGCATCAGGCATGTTGCTGTGTTGCTCAACGCGCTGTTCCCTCGGTAACGGCGCGTGCAAAAGACGGTCAATTGGAAAAGTGCATAGCCTAAGCCAAATTAAGGTTTACTCAAACAAAACTCATTTAAAAAGGACCTCATAAAACCATCTTTTGTCCTATTTTGCTTTTTCGGCTTGGATTTTAATCCACTCTTCCTAATGTCGGATGTAAATTAACTTTCAACAAATCCACAAATGACACTGTTCTCATTAGGCTAAAAGCAAAAATAAAAATAGTTTAGTTTTTAAATAGCTAAATAAATAAAACAAATTGGGATGAGTGGAGGTTTTCGTTTAGCCTACTACTGAAGTAGTTTTACGAACGAGGCAACATCGTGTTTACTAATTTTGACCTGTATTCCCGTGGTAGCTGCCACCTGGAGAGGAGTTAAAGCTCTGCCAGCAATTATACACACACAACAGGGATTCAAGCAGAGAATTGAATTATCACTTGACAAAGGCCTTGAATTTTAGAACTGATGAAGCTGTATCTTACCAATGTTCATACCGAACAGCCGCCCAAAAAATTATCAGCCATAGTCAGCACACTAGAATACATCACCGGTTAATGCGTCATGGACCAAAAGTGCAAAATTCTTCCTATATACCGTTTAATTTTTCAGGCCAGATTTTAAAATATACCATATATTAAAACAGACAGCCTAAAAGGCATAGGAAATTTTCCGAAAATATTCATAAAGACAGCAAATTTCCTTCGAGCGACCATTAGGCTATTCAGCGCAGTATCTGGACTAATACAACAGCAGCCTTGACAACGAATAGCCACACAAAAGCCGTCACACATCACCTGCCTTACTTTACTTCTTGTATTAGGCTGCTTGCTGTTTAATTAAAATCGATGAAATTATATATAAACTCTAAAAAATGCAGAGTTGTTTTAACCCATGTCAAATATGGAAAACCAACGGTTGGGTTTAAAATGTAGCCTAATTCAAATAAAAAATAAATTAACGGTCGGGTTTGTCCATATTTGACTCAAATATGGATTGAAACAACACCGTATTTTTATATATATATATATATATATATATATATATATATATATATATATATATATATATATATATATATATATATATATATATATAGCTATTAATATTTGGTCTTTTAATGTATTTATTTCATTTTCAGTCTAGGCCCATTGTTTGAAAATAATGTTTAATATAATGTGTCAATATTTGACCCAACCGGGGGTTGAAACACCCCGCATTTTTTATTTAATAGCCTATTGGTTTTTTTTTATGTATTTATTTTATTCTATTGTATTCCCGTATGTAGGCCATTGTTTGGAAATAATATTTAATATTATCATTTGACCCAACCATGGGGTGAAACAACCCAGTATTTTTTTAAGTGCATATAATAGGTCTATAATATAATATAATATAATATAATATAATATAATAGCCTATAATATAATAATATAATATAATATAATTAATATAAAACTAAGCTAATATGGCTAGATAAACAGAAACAGATAACAGTGGCTTGTGAAAAAAAAAATCCCTCTCTACAGAAATTCATGTTTCTTATCAAGCATAAGGTTAGGTCTACTGTAATATTGACAGACATTTATCATAGTGAACTCTGACCACTGCATCACCTTTGTAGGACACTCATCGATTTTTCTAACAGATATACAAAAAGGTACAAATTAAATCGCAACAGTAGCCTATACACTTAGGCTATTGTTCTGTGTTTTTATACTGTCTTAATAAATAATTAAATTAGGTTAACGTTAGATCATTTGAAAAATAAATCGATCAATCGAGTGATTTAAACATATTATTTATACATTTTAGCATTTACTTTATATAGCCTATATATAACGTTAAAGAATTAGAATGCTAATTTTAGAAACTATTGAAGTGAATGATGAAAACATGAGATTTTACTGTTCACTTAAAGTGGGTGGGTTTTGAATGCAAGCGTTCAATACTTCAGTTGAGATCAAACGAACCACAAATACTATATTTATAATAGATTTACTTACCGAACAAGTTATTTCCCTGGCTTGGAACAAACTGTGGCGATGTTCTTCCTCTGACTGGATCCCCAAATCACTTTCCTTGACCTGCAGCTGACCCTTGTAAACTACATGTCTTTATCATGTAGCAAATGAGCTCCGAATTAAGCCATTGAACAACAGGACGCAACTTGAATCATTCCTTATACTTTATAAAAAAGCAAGACGAGAGAGAGGCAGATGAGGCTGATTATGCAGGTATAGCCTATAGGGTAAATAGGCTCGCGGAGTGTGTGAGTGCACTTGGCTGTGGAGGGTTGGGTTGGTGGAATTAGAGGGGGACGGGAGGAGGCGTTAGCCGCCGTTTGGGCTCACACGAGCGGGAAACACTCATATCACATGAAGAGGTTGCTAAAATGCGATTAATGCGTGACGTTTACATTCTCACTTAAAGATGTGTGCTTAACATGAGTCATTCTTGTAGAAAGACTTCAATTGTCCCAAATACAATCGTAGAAAACGACGATTTACGTAAATTCCCCGCCTCTCTTGACACCATAAATAAACACGTTTTAGCATTTGCTTTGAAATGCATAGCCTACGATAATGATTAAGTCATTCAAAACAAACAAGTAATAAAACTACTCAGTATGAGCTCGGTAACCTATATTTATTGTTAATTCTAGTGCATACTAGAAAATAGACAAGGGGAAACTTCATTTCCCACAATTCCACTGCGACGCCTACAATAAAGCGCGGCGCTGATTGGTCGTCAGCACAACAAATCTGACGTTGTCGAAAACGTCACTTCCGAAACATTAAGGCGATTCGGTTGAGACCTCTTTAGCGCTCCTTGGCCGAGACAGTTGATTCTAATGAGTGGCTTTTTTGTTTTTATCCTTAAAAGGTCTTTAATAACTGACCAACAAACTCTTCGGATCAGTACTTACAAAACTCTGGAAGGTAAATTGTTAAAACGCACATAACGAGTCTTCTGTTAACTTAGACGTTAGGCGTGTAACCAGTGTTTAACTTTAGTAAGCAAACTGATACGGAGCCGTTAACATTTCCTAAGCCTGACAAAAGATAATGAATGGATAATTATGCTAGTCGTTTCTAAAAATCCAACATCATTACGAAGTAATCAATATATTCACATCGGTAGTAAACTTGTAATCGAAAAGATCGAAAAGTAATAATAGGTTTTGTCTTAAAAAATATTTAAAGCACAACCTTCCTACCAGCTGACGTTACCTGGGTGCATCTCAAGAATTACGATAACGTTAGCCGTTATCAATACATAACCTATATTTAGAATAACGCAAAATCTTTTTACATTAAGATTTGTTTTTTTATTGTGACATTTTAATGTGTCCCCCCACCCCCTATTATTAATAAAAATATAATTTGCATTACTGTACCGTGAAAACACAAAACATGAATTATAGTACTTGTATGCATAATGGTATTATTTGTAGTACCGTAGGCTACATTTAAAATATGTAGGTTCACTGCCTTTCTGTTCTTTTATTGTGATTACTGATTGATTCTAATAAAATGTCTGTATGAACAGTTGATTGATGTTAGATTATAAATAGTTAATATAGTTTAGTAATGAGAATCTGATAAGAATCAATCACCATTGGGAGTAATTATCATTGCAAATAAAAGTAAAAACTTACATTTTAAAATCTTAATGCTCTCTAAATAGTTTTATTTATTTATTTATTTTTACTTAATGTATTATGTTTACTTTAATTAATTTGATTTTTGGTGAAGAATTAGGTCTTTTTCACTATGGTTTTTGGCACAGTCTTTGTGTCTCTGTGTGCAAACATAACGTTTGGGTAAAGTATGCAACAACACAGTAGTCAATATATTTATATTTCATTTATAGTTACATTTTCATATTTGTATTTCCAGTCATATAGTAATCAGTAATTTATTGTTGTTTCCAATAGCATGAATTTCTCAGAGGTCTTCAAGCAATCCAATCAATTGTGCAAAGTTTCTCCTGATGGGAAATATTTGGTAAAGTTGTTTTTCTTACAGCTGTCAAAATTATCAGATGATACATAAAAAAATATGACTATGATCTAAATAGCATACCACCTTACTGATCTTCCTGTTTCTTGTTAATTACCACATTTAATTTGGGCTTGTAGGCCACCTGTGTTCAGTACCGCCTGGTGGTGCGTGATATCAGCACCCTTCAGATCATGCACCTGTACACATGTCTGGACCAAGTGATGCACATGGAGTGGTCCTCTGACTCCCTCTTCATCCTTTGTGCCATGTACAAAAGAGGACTCGTGCAGGTATGTCAAGTTGCCATTGCATTTATTGATGCACTTTTTCCTTTACTTTTCAGTCTGGGTATGTGCAGTCTTATCCAGAAGTTCTTTAAAAATTTTGAAAAGTAATAGCACACCTCTCCTTGAGCTGCACGATTCAGGATAAATTGAGAATCAAAATTTTGTTTAGTTTAAAATGGAGATCACGATTCTTAAATAGACAACTCTATGAAATTACATCTTACAAAATGTTAATTGCTGCAGTCTATTTAAAAAGAAATGTTTAATGAATTTGAATTAATTCTTTTTTTTTAATCAGTTACTATGTCCGAAATCACCCCTTTATAGCCTTAAATATGGCACTATTTGAGATGATGGCCATTTGTAGTTTTGTCCAAACCATAGTGGATGTTATCGAGTGCTCTCATTCAAACCCATAATGCACCGCATTAACAAGTGTTCAACTGATCCAGGACACCTACTTGGACACATTCAAAGTAGGAAGGCATCAAACCACGTCCGAATCCAATGTTAGTTTGAGATACCTTAATCTAATAGATTTTTGAAGGCAGCATAGATGTCTCTGTCGCTGCCTTTGATATCACACAATCCTGTGCTTTTCATTCTGTGACAGTTGATCTAAAAAATAAAGATGGCGTCTAAAAGTTGCGGTTAGTCGTCAGTTTGTGTGTAAATGTACGCTCCACCTCTGATGTTATTTCTAGTGGTGAAAATTGATTTACTATTGTAGTAAAAATATTATAAATTATATTCACAGGGCAGCAAGGCAACAAGTCAGCACCTCCCATTTTCGGACTCAGCCGTACGCTTAAAGGGTTAGTTCACCCAAAAATGAAAATTAAGTAATTAATTACTCACCCCCATGCTGTACCAACCCCGTAAGACCTTCGTTCATTTTCGGAACACAAATGAAGATATTTTTGATTAAATTTGAGAGCTGGATCACTCCTCCATAGACTTCCTAAGGGACTAGCACTTGAAAATGTTTAAATATTCCATGTGCCTACTGAGGCTCAATTATAAGTTTATCAAGCGACGAGAAAACTTTTTGTGCGAAAAAAACAAAACATAAATAACGACTTTATTCAACTATTCCATTACTTCCTTATGGGCCTTGAGACGAGAATTGAAGAGATTTCCAGAACGCATGTGCGAGAACTGAGCTGAGGACGTTCTTCTTCGACTACTTCTTGTTACCGGCTGCTCACCGCTTAGGAGTGTTACCGCCACCTACCGTATAAGATGATGATCCATATATAAGGCGCTCCGGATTGTAAGGCGCACAGCACTGTCGTATTTGAGAAGATTAAAGGCTTTTAAGTGCGTGTATGTGTATGTATGTGTGTGTACGTGTATGTACAGCGCGCGTCTTCCTCTGCTTGTAAACAGAAACTTTTGCGCTTCCAGCT